GTTAGATAGGCAACATGCAAAAAGAAAAAAAAAGCATGAGAAAAACATTGCTTTACAAACCTTAAGATTTAGTAAAAAAAAAATTATATTTTGCGTATGAAAGCATTGTAATGTTTACTGATAATGTATCAAATTTCATTAACATTCCCTTACTAATTTAAAAGTTATAGTATTGAAACTATAACAAGCACAAAATGGTTACGAGGTCAGTCCCAGGGACCGAGCCAATGCTGAAAGAGTTATATTGTAACTGTCACTTGTAAGAAGATACTTTTATGCAAAATTTTTTTGTTCCATATGACAAGTACAAAGACTCACTGTTCATAAGATGTGATGTTTTGGTGATACATTTAAGTACTAAGATAAGACTTAACACTGACCTTTTGCATGTTTTTCACATAATGATGTATAGAGGTGGAACCAGTAGTTACTATTGTCTAATGATATTTTTATAAATAGTAGTACACATACCAGCAGTGACAGTATAATAGATTTTGTCACGGAAATTGTCTTAACGTGTTAATTTGACGGAAAATAAAAATTGCTGGATATTAATGTGTATACTAGAATATCTGAACAAGTCAAAGTATGTGGTAATATATTTAGTGCATATTGACGATTGTACAGTGAATATGAAATTTACCATGTCTAAAAACTGAAAATTTGAATGAACAGTAGATTAAATTGAAAAGATATACTCAGAGTAGTGTACATCATTTCAGACCCTCCAGATCCAGTCTCTATGGTTACAGAACAGCATCGTTTTCAGCCACACCAGCAACATCCTCACAGTTTTGTTAACATTAATCAACCGCCACCAAATCATTTTAGTGTAACTTCACATCCTCCAGGGCCAATTTTAGGGAATACACCAAATGCACTAACTCTTGGTAGACAAGGAAATAGTGTTAATTCCTTTTCACAGCACTTTCATTCGGGCGACATCAATGCTTCTACAGCTAGAGGTGAGTCTCAAAGATTCTGTTGGTAATCATTTAGTAAATACCCTCAGTGCTTCAGCTACTCAAACATAACCTCTCAGAGCTTGTATTGTGAGACTGTAGCCCCTTTTCACAAAGGCCCACTGATCATTGATGATGTGATGTTTTGGTGTTACATTTAACTAATAAGGCAAGACTCAACATTGACCCTTTGTCTAAGAGCTGCTCAAATTTATCAGAATGGAATCCTCTTTCATAACATTACTTCCAGGTGCTTAGTGTAAGATTGTGAGTTTGTGTCATTCGTTGGATTATAAATAGCACTTATTCAATATTTTCAACTTTTTCAGTATCCATTGTTGATGGTGTGGTGAGTCCAAATTTGTATCGTGTATCAACATGTATTTCACCAGTGGTTATAGCTGCTTCCATGTCAACCCTTAAATAACAAATAAATCTTAAAACATTATTGCTGTAAGCAAGGAGTTCTGAACTTTATGGTGTATTTTGTACATAAAATATTGAATTTTATTGTTGTGAAAGTATATATATGTATGTGTGTATATCACATCTTCAATATTTTTAAACTTTTTTAAGTGGCTGATATGTTAAGGTGATATAACACAGTTATTTATAAGAAATTCATTTGAGGTAGAATTTTGTGACTGTGCTCAATATGTATGTTGGAAGTATCTACTATAGATTGTTATAGAAAGTGCTTTAACATATCTCTTCAGGTCCGTCAAATACATCCAACCAACTGGCTCGGTTGCTATCCCAGCAGCAGCAGGGCTTCTCCCAAGGTAGAGGGATACCAAACCAACTGGCTTTACAGCAATTACTGTTTACAGCACAACACCAGTCAGTTTCATCTCAGGATCAGTCTGTTAATCTGGAGAACATGCATGCTGTGAATATAAGAGGAGATGGTAGGGGAGGTGGGTATTGTTGTGTGCTTGTGGATAGAAAGTGTCATCTAACTGTTAGACTGAAAGCCAACGTAGGAGAAGTATTACTTTGAGCAAATGAACTTAATGCTGTTTTCTGAGTAAGTTATGTAGCATTTCAAGTTTACATTCTCACATGATGGACTTCTGAAAAGAGCTGCTTTGCAGTAATTTAGCTTTGATTCTTTTCATAGACTGCTATATACATCTTTTAGGTACATGTAAGTAGGAGATCAACTTTTACAGTGCAAAGCAACAGACTAAAAAAAAGTATGTGTTACGTGTGCTTAACTGCAAATGAAAAACTTAGTTTTAATAAAAATTACTATAAACATTTAGTTTAACTATGATGTTAACCCTTCCGAGATGGGTCACAGGTGAAAGGCCACATCATCTCGTTTGTAGACTCACATTCAAAACTTTATTGAACTACTATTTCATGAATATATGTCAATAAGTGTGGTATCAAACTGTAGATTATAATTCAACTTTTAGAACTGTACATTATTCAATTTCATAATTTAAAGCTAAATATTACAAAAACAGTTAAACTTTGATTTTTGTGTGTCACATGGTCTGTTGAATGCAGCACTGGTTCAAATTAGATGTTTGTGAAGTCAAAATACTATGTCTATAGTTTCGTACGAATTAGGAACTCGAATTACCGAAATTGACAAGCTAGAATATAAAATAAGAAGATCTTATCTTTTCTATTTGCTAAGATATTGCTCGCATAATAAATCAAACACAGTGGCACCCCACTCACCTCTTTCCATTTTTCGAAATGCTCCCTTATATACATTTCTATATATTACATGAATAACCGATTGGAAGCTTAGTATGTCCCCCTAGTGGTATTCTCAGCCTTTCTAATGCTCCTTCCGCCATTTCATTTGAATAAAGATTTCAATGAGGTAGGTTGTGTCTTTAGTCTGCTCGAAATTTCATATTTTTTTAGACCCAAATACAGCTTAGTTACTAAGCTTGATAAATTATAATAGAATTCTATGGTATTGATATAGTAATTTGTGAATTTTTGGTTATTCAAATGTGTATATAAAACCTAAAAATAATTATTTTGTTTCATATCTTCCATGTGCAAAATTTCTTAAGGCATAGCAACCAAGTACAAAGGTCATAACTGGAAGAGATAATTGTTTGCATTACTTCTTTATTTACTGTTCAAAGTTTTAGGAAAAATAACTTTAAGAACTTATTTAAAAATAGAAATAATCTATACATATATATATATATATATATATATATA